GAGTCTGTTCTAACATTGACACGTGTTCACAATGAATACATCAGACTTGGGGTTAATTAACTTGCTCAAAGACACTTAGGATTGGATTAATGCATTTATTTGATATGACAAACCTTTCCGACCGTACATATAAAACACAAATTCACAATGGGGAGACGCGTCAGGCTGGGTAGCAAAACGAAAAACAACAAAATGTGTAAAACAAAAGGTCAGGAGAGAAAAATAATTTCTGCTCATACCGATCCTTAAAAGGAGTCAGCATGAGGAGACAAAAACTCCATCACATAAGAAGCACAAGTATCATCACATCATATCACCATAACAACACAAGACGAGCAACATGGCGGAGCATGCCAGTGTGCACAGCTGCATCTGGGACTCTTGTGATTGCCCCTCCGGCTGGACCGCTGTCCACATCAGATGGGAGGTAAGCATGTGAGGAGGCGTTGGATTCGGGGAAGGCGGGGATGATGGTGAGGGCGTGTCAGTGTGTGCGTCCTGAGTTCAGCCTGAGAAAGTGTCCTTTCGCCCATTAGCCGAAGATCAGCAGTCCACAGCCTACACAGTTGGCCTTGAGGGATCAGGCGAGAGAGACAGTTCGTTCTCGTATCTCTTGGAAGAATTGTTGTTGTTCTCGTCGTGTCCGCCTTCAAGAGCATCCAGCTGGCGCCGTCGGGGTGGGGAGGTAGCTGATGGATATGTTGTTTTAGGGCGAACAGACTGCATCAATTTTACATTTGTTCTTATCGTCTGTCAATGGTCTCCGGGGCTCCTCCAGGATCTTTCCCATATTATATTCAGCAGGAACAGTCTGAGTACTCACAGCTCTTCCCACATTTCGATCAAAGTGGCAGTCACCATTTTCTTCCATTTCCGATACACCAGGGCCAAGCCAGCTCCAATCAGCAAGAGCCCCGTTAGCCGAATAGGTAGATGTCTTCAATGTCCTCAATAGACGGTCCCGCTGGGCACACGACACGCCACTTCTGCCACCCGTCCATCGTGTATCCAGCAGGGAACGTCCCTCCAGGGCACTCAGGCTCCTGATCCCAGGCTTCTCGTTGAGAAGAGGGTGTCAATTGCATTAAGGGACCAGTTGATCAAATCCATAATTCTTCTTTAGGTTTTAGAGGACAAGACTGAAGAATGAGAAGGTCTCTCAGGGTTAGAGTCAGACAAGACCAGACAAGGACATAGAAGCAGCAGCAGGGAAGATAAGGAGAGGATGAAAGATGCGTCCGCCTCCTCCGAGAGCCAAAGACCAAAAAATAAAAAGGCATGCCGTCTGGAGGCTGGAGCAGCCGTGGATTAACCTGCCAACCTTCCAGTTAGGAGATGCCCTGCTCCACCTCCATATTAGCAGGGCTGTTTGTAATGCATCAAATTTTGCTTTTCAGTGTCATAAAGGTGTTGGATTTGACTTGAAATAGTCTTTTAGCATGGCAATTGGAAAGTTGGATCACCTGACGCTAACTGTAGCACATTTTCTAATCCCCTATCTTCTACCACTCATAGTGGTCTACAGTCCAGAGCAATCCATCAGTCTTCCAGTAGTCTTTTGAAATGAAATTTGCCTCCGATCAGTCCTAGCAAACCACTTTCTTCTGACTCTTTATAGCTCTGATATGTGCATCAGTGTAATCGGTATAGCAGGAAATCGTGCATTGACAAAAGTTCCCCTTTGCTTGAAATGCAAAGTGCAATTAAATGCTTTTTTTT